GTGCCTGTAGTCCCAGCTACTCGGGAGGCTGAGGCCAAATAATCGGGAGTTGCTATGAGCTGTGACGTGGCCGGGCGACAAAATGAGTCTCTGTCTCTAAAAAAGAAAAAAAAAAAGAAGGCTTGGTGCCTGTGGCTCAAGCGGCTAACGTGCCAGCCACGTACACCTGAACTGGCGGGTTCGAATCCAGCCCAGGCCCGCCAAACAACTATGGCTGCAACCAAACAATAGCCGGGCTTTTGGCGGGCCCCTGTAGTCCCAGCTACATGAGAGGAAGAGGCAGGAGAATCGCTTGAGCCCAGGAGTTGGGGGTTGTTGTGAGCTGTGATGCCACCGCACTCTACCCAGGGTGACAGCTTGAGGCTCTGTCTTAAATTAAAAAAAAAGAAGAAAAATTTTCTCCCTTAACCTTTCAAAGTTGTTTTAAGAATTACAAATCTTGTGTTGAAAGGCTTAGCACTGGACTAAGTATTTGGTAAATGATGAATACAAAGTAAATACAAATGGTAAATAGAATTATTATTGTTATCTCTCCCACTACACATACATTCTTTCTGTCTCCAGATAAGATTACCGTATAAAGCGGGAAGGAGAGGCGACCAATACCATCAGAAGAGAGGTTTCGCTCTAAGTTTCATACTCCAAACCCTCATTTCTCCCAAGCGCCAAACCTGGAAGGCCAGCCCAATCCAAGATACACATCCTATACCCAGCAGGGAAAACTGGAGCCGAAGCTCAGAGAGGGGAAACATTTTCCAGACTCTCTCAGCAAGTCAAGGCAGAAGTTAGGGCGAGCCTTGGGATTACAACCCCGCCTTCACCATCACCTGGAGCATCACTGTCCCTTCAATTTCACTCGGGTCTCAGTTTCCCCGCCTACGGGACTACACCACATTCATCAGGGTCTCCTTTTGGAGATATGCTCTTCCTTTCGAATGGGGGCGCTGCACCAACGAGAGAATGGTGCGGGGCGGGGCTCCAGAAATAAGGGAGAAGCGCAGGCTGGGGTCTTCCCTGCCCGGGTCAGCGGGGGCCTTCCCCGGCTAGGTTAAGCGCCTATTAATATCAGTTCCCGGGGCGGCGTGGCACTGCGCAGGCGCGGGCTGGTTCTGCGGGGTGCGCGCGAGAGCGAGGGATTCCCTCTGACGTCATTGCTAGGATACCAAACAAACACTCGGCCGCGCCGGCCGAGCTCCTTATATGGCTAATTGCGTCACAGGAACTCCGGGGAGGCGGGGCCGGGATCTCCTCCCGCCGAGATACCTGGAATGCAGCTCCTGAGACCCCCAGGGATGCGAGGGTCACTCAGATGACCAGACAGAGATTAGAGGAGATCTCTTGCAGAACTTGGGGGATCTTGGTTAAGCGAGGCCCGAGATTTTGGGAAGTTTGTGAAGAGAGGGCTGTGACGTAAGCACGGGGGGCGGGTACCCGGGCATATAAATACAGGCTGTCGGCTCTGTGCTTCATTCATAAGATTGAGAGCTACGGCCAAGGCTGGGATATGCGGAGCCGTGACTTGGAAACTTGATTATTGTAATTCTTCTTCCTGGGGGCTGTGAAATTTTTTTTTTCGGAGAGAAAGTTTTGGAAGGAATCTTCCAGATACTTCTTCATTTTACTTTGGAGGACCGACTTTTCGTCTTCTTTATTACTCCCCTCCCCCGTGGGACCCGCCGGACTCGTGGAGAAGACCGCACCCGAAGCTGATTCTATACAACGGGACAGCGCTTTCCGTTCTTGGGGGAGCGATCCCCCTCACCCCCGAGTCCTACGGAACCCGGACTTTCAGGAGGCGCAGCGGCGTCCTGTGGAGGCCTGGGCACTGCAGAAGGACTACACAGAAACTTTGCCATTGTTGGAGCGGGACGCTGTTCCCTCCTCGAGCTTTCCGGGACAGCAGACTTTGAGGATTCACTCGTCTCACTCCAGACTCGCACCTTACTTCCCCCATCCAGCCATAGCCTTGGCTTCCCGGCGACCTCAGCGTGGTCACAGGGCCCCCCCTGTGCCCAGGGAAATGTTTCAGGCTTTCCCCGGAGACTACGACTCCGGCTCTCGGTGCAGCTCCTCACCTTCCGCCGAGTCTCAGTATCTGTCTTCGGTGGACTCCTTTGGCAGTCCACCCACCGCCGCCGCCTCCCAGGTAAGTTCTAGATAGCAGGGGTGTATCTTGGGGGGTTTATTTTCTAAGTCAAGGATGGAGAGAGCAACTCCAACCCCTTAAATAAAGACGCGTCAAAACCCAAGATCTGAGATGGAATAGGTTCACAGTGCACTTTGCAAACCGCAGAAAGTTGGAAGATGTTTGCAATTGGTTGTGTGTGTGGAGCGCAGGGAGGGAATGCAGCTAGGTAGGCTTTGGGGCTGGAGGGGGGTGGGCATACGCCGCTCAGTGTGCAACGTGTATGCGGTAACAGGGCTGAGAACTTTTTGCCGGCTCTGGGACTGCCCCCGGCTCCAGTCCCCAGCCTGAAGCTAGCGTAGCTAGGCAGGTGGGGGAAATCCCAGGGTAGCTTCCTGCAGCCTCCTCTCTTTTCCTCCTTCCGAGCGCCGATCCCGCGCCCGGTAGCCCTCCACCCTTAGCGAAAGCGGGCCTCGAACCTCAGGCTACGCTGCCTCCGCCTCCAGCGCCGAGACGTAACGGGGGACCCGTGCGTAACGGCTGACGCGCTGGAATCCTCCGTCTGACGCGGGGCACGCACGGCGCGGCGCCCCCTTCGTCCGCCCCGCCCCTGACGTCCAGGGAGCGATCTATTTTGGAACGCTAGGGCCACGTTGCTAAGGGAGGGGGCAGCCCGGCGTTCCGATTGGTCGCCGCAGCGCGGGCTTTGGCCAATCAACTTTCTCTTCCTATTTGTAGGGCTCAGTTTCCTTCCCCCTCTCAGTCTCCGGAACCCGTAGTTCCCGGGTGTTTGGGTCGCTTTTACGGTCTGCAGAGGCCAAGGGAGGGTATTCCTGTCGCGACAAGAGAGACTTTTGCGACTCAATGGGTTCGCGAGGACTTTGCAGGGATCTGGTCTCTCGACTCTCAGAACCATGGGGTGTCAGTTTGTGTGCCGCTGTTTCTTGGGGAGCCATGGTGGCTGTCATCCTCTTCTCTAAGCACACGAGGACACATTCCCACTTCCTCTGCTCTGGATTCCAAGTCCCTCCGGTGTGTCCCTAGACAGGACTAGAATCGCTAACCGGAGGGGAACAAGTCCTGTTTTCTCTAGGAGCCCCGCCCCTTCTGGGTTCCCAGGACTCTGATTGGCCGGCGAGCCAGCCCTTCCCTCTCCACGCCCCCCGGGAGAGTAGTTAAGCCTTCAGAGCAGTTCCAGGATTCCATTTGCGGGTGGGGGGGAGATGAGCTCTGCTTGGGGTTGGGGGCTCAGGTCTTACACTATTCCCCCTCCGCGACATTCTGAGAGAGCTCGGGTGGTGATTTTACCTGTCCGTTCACCCGAACCTGTCACTTGTCAGTCTCACCCTGGGGAGAGACAGTTACTTGAAACGTTGTTCTAAACTCCTAGGCCCGTCCCCCAACACCCTTTTAATGGGGACCCCCGCCTCTCTCACTGAGGGGTGTGTGAGTGTAGAGGAAGGCTTGGCCTAAGGCCTCTCCTTCTCCCTCCCCTTGCCTCTGGGGTGGGGGTGGGGTGTTGTGGCTGTGTGTGTGGCTGTGGCTCCATCCCGGGGGTTCTGTCACCCGGCTGTGTCCAGCCTCCTTTCCACCCCCCACACCTAAGAGTCACCAACCCGGGGTGTGATTCACCACCCGCTGGAACCGTGCAACCTTTCCCCGAGGAAGAAGGAGGAGGTAGAAGCCAGTTGAGCAGAAATCCTCTCATTAACCACTGCGTCACGGTGTAGTGGAAGGGTGGGTGTTGTGGTTTTTTCCCTGTGACACACACATCCACACTTGCTCACCCTGTGCTCACTCACGGGGTCGCTGTGTGTTATGTGTGTTGGGTGTGTGTGTGTCGGTGTCTTTGTTTGTGTGTCTACGCCTGTGTGTGTATGTGTCACCCTGTAGGAGTGCGCCGGTCTCGGGGAAATGCCCGGTTCCTTCGTGCCCACGGTCACCGCGATCACAACCAGCCAGGACCTCCAGTGGCTTGTGCAACCCACCCTCATCTCTTCCATGGCCCAGTCCCAGGGGCAGCCATTGGCCTCCCAGCCCCCTGTTGTTGACCCCTACGACATGCCGGGAACCAGCTACTCCACACCAGGCATAAGTGGCTACAGCAGTGGCGGAGCTAGTGGCAGTGGCGGGCCTTCCACCAGCGGAACCACCAGTGGACCTGGGCCTGCCCGCCCAACCCGAGCCAGGCCTAGAAGACCCCGAGAGGAGACGGTGAGTAAGGCACATGGCCTGAAGGGTAGAAGCAAGAGAGGGAAGAACTTTCTCATGAATGGGGTAGGGGATTACTAAGGCCTCAAAGCTGCAGAAACCATATTATCCTTGCTACAGTGGACTGCAGAGTCCTTTGGTGGTTCCTGGGAGTTCTAGAAGAAATGGAGGATTGGGATGGATGGAGGAAGTACACTGTATCACCAAACCTCATGGCCTCTATCTCTCCTACTCAGCTTACTCCAGAAGAAGAGGAGAAGAGAAGGGTTCGCAGGGAACGGAACAAGTTGGCAGCAGCTAAGTGTAGGAACCGTCGGAGGGAGCTGACTGACCGACTCCAGGCGGTGAGGATGGTCCCTGGGGTGGGGCGGGGTGAGGGTATGCTGAGGGGGCTGTCTTTCCATTCTCTGTCCCGGTAGTTCCACCTGTGCCCTTATCCTGGGATAAGAAGCATCAGTTCCACACATGGCCAGATTGGCCAGATGAGGTAGCCACATGCACATATGCAGACCTCCACATACTTATGTTCACTCCTGGCTACTCCCTTCTCTGATTCATGCCCCTCTGTATCACTTTCCTGGCCTTCACTTCTTCCTGAGGTGACAAATGGGAGGCTTTAAAAGAGGATGGCACCAGTGCCCTCTCCCATTGGTCTTGGGCAAATGATAACCCTTTTTTGCCTAGCTTTCTCCATCTCTTCAATCTCTCATTATATCTCCCAGGACTAGTAATCTACTTTTAACATTCTAGAGAGTCTATGAAATGAAATTATCTGATCTTCTGTCAATTCCTCCACATCCTGCTCCAGCTACTACAGTTCTCCAGAACTTGAACTGGTGGCATCCACCAAAACCAACTCCTTTTCTATGCCCTCCTTTGGCCTGAGAGTTCCCTGCTTTGTGCCTGTTACCCTGTGAGGAATCAGGGGAATTCTCTACTTTCCTTCTCTTTTTTGTCCCTTCCTTGGGAGGTAGAGAGGGAGGGGTAACAGGAGAACACATTAAAGGCGCGTTAAAAACATAACAAATTTTCATTCATTCAACAAACCTCTGAGTGCCTTCTGCATGCCAGAGATGTCCATGTGCATCTGGCCCCTTCCCAACTATACTGTGGACTGATGGAGAAACTGAGGCTCTTAGAAGGCAAGACTGCATCTCAGTGGTCTTTCCTCTCAGCCAGTAGCTGCCTTCCAGCCCTGGCCTTAGCACCACGCCTAGGGTAGCCTGACCACCTCTTCTAGCTGCTGATGGCCTTTTTCTCCTTCCTCCCTCTCTTCTATGACCTGGCCTCCGTGGCCACAGGAGACAGATCAATTGGAGGAAGAAAAGGCAGAGCTGGAGTCGGAGATCGCCGAGCTCCAAAAGGAGAAGGAACGTCTGGAGTTTGTGCTGGTGGCCCACAAACCGGGCTGCAAGATCCCCTACGAAGAGGGGCCCGGGCCGGGCCCGCTGGCGGAGGTGAGAGATTTGCCGGGGCCAGCATCCGCTAAGGAAGATGGTTTCAGCTGGCTGCTGCCGCCCCCGCCACCACCGCCCCTGCCCTTCCAGACCAGCCAAGACGCAGCCCCCAACCTGACAGCTTCTCTCTTTACACACAGTGAAGTTCAAGTCCTCGGCGACCCTTTCCCCGTTGTTAACCCTTCGTACACTTCCTCGTTTGTCCTCACCTGCCCGGAGGTCTCCGCGTTCGCCAGCGCCCAACGCCCCAGCGGCAGTGACCAGCCTTCCGACCCTCTGAACTCGCCCTCCCTTCTTGCTCTGTAAACTCTTTAGAAACACAAAACAAACAAACACACAAGGGAGAGAGATTTGGAAGAGGAGGAGGAAGGAGAGAGAGGGGAAGAGACAAAGTGGGTGTGTGGCCTCCCTGGCTCTTCTGTGTGACTCTGACGCTGTGCCACTGCCTTCAGAAAGGAGGACTCCTTTGTTTTGTGCTGCCTCTTGTTCCGGGGCCGGCAAGGCCGGAGAGCTGGTGACTTTGGGGACAAGGGGTGGGAAGGGGATGGGCAGGGGCCAGCTGCCTGTTGACCCTCTCACCTCAACCCAGCCTTTGACGATAGTGGGTGGGGGTTGACGCCCACTTTGGGGCAGTCCTGTGTGAGGATGGAGGGAGGGACAGTGTGCTAGGTGGGTGTGGGGTGGGCTTGAGTCCTCTCCAGAGAGGTCCAACAAGGAAATGCCACTTCCCCAATGTCTCCCACGCTGACCCCTTAGGGGCTGGCTCCCCCTGCCCTCCTGACCTCAGCTTATTTATCCCATATTTCCATGGGGCTACATCCTCCTCTGAGCAGAATTGAGCCCCTACCTTAGAGGGAAGTCAATGTCCCCTTATGATAACTCCCTCCACCATCCAGATTTATTCTGAAATGTGAACTTCCTTCCCTGACCGTCCAGCTACTCCCTCCCAGAAAAACTGGGTTTGATTTGAATTTCACCTCCTAAGGATCCCCCCAATTCCACCTCTCCATACTCTCTGATTGCGAGGGTTACCCTACTCCCCTCTTGGCCTTCCTTGTTGGGCCCTTCTGACTTCAGGCGGCAGGGGCGCTGTGGTGGCCGTCCTGCTGGGGTGTTTATACTGTGAAACGAGTTGGCCGATTGTGGGGGATTGAGTGGGACAGCGCTCTTCTGGAGGGATTGTGCCCTTCACTCCCAAAACTTTTCCTTGGTCTCTCCTACCCACCCTTCTGCCTCCTCCCTGTCCTCAATGGTGAGTTAGACTCAAGGGGGTGACAGCTCTCCATCCACATGGCCTCTCTCTCTCTCCTCAGGACCCCCAGGCCCAAGCCCTGGCCTTTTCCTTTAAGGACCCGTCACTTGTCCCCAGCCTAGGAAGCCAACTTCTCCCCTCCCATCTGGCCACCCCGAGCCTCTCTAGAAAGGGAGGAAGGGGGCTCAATACTTTTCTGGAGAAGATTTCAGGGCTGAGGCTTTTTGGCACACACACCCCAACCCCTCCGCCGACCCTGAATATTTTTGGACTGGCAAGCTCCTGTTGCCGGCTTCCTGACCCCAACTCCCTCAGTCCTGAGCCCTGGTTTTGGCTTTCCCTCCCTGATTTTCCTGTGCTTCACCTGGTGAGAATTTTATCATAAGACAAATTTCTATTTTTTAATATAGAGGGTGGACCACACCACCCTCCGTTGCTGCATGGAAAACATTCCACGTGCCCTGTCGCACGTCTCCTGCCCCAAACCCCCAGACCACCACCCCCCCCCTAGCTATTTATCCCTTTCCTGGTTTCTGAAAGGCACTTATATCTATTATGTATAAATAAATATATTATATATGGGATGTGTGTGAGCGCGTGAGTGTGTGAGCGCTTCTGCAACCTTGGCCTTGGTCATGTTGACCCCAAACGCGAGCCATTGAATTGGAAACACTGCTTCTGGAAACTTGGAGCCAACTGTCACTGGTTGATCCTTTTCTGATTGTTGTGGCCCTCTGGTTGTTTCTGACAGTCTCAGGCTGTCTACTGAGCGTGTCCCTCCCTCTGTCTTTTCTCTGCCTATTTTCATCTGATCATTCCCACCTGTTTCCTAGCTGACTGTCTCTGAGCCTCTAGCTGTCTTCTGACACTGGGTTCATTGGGGACGTGAGATTTTATTTTTGTGAGTAAGCCTTAGGGATCATTGATTTTTACAATCTGTGTGTTTGAGAATTCTGGGTGACAGTGTGAGACTATGAGCAGGGCCTGCCCTGCCACCCACAATTATTGAATACCCAACCCTCCCCACCCCATGCTGCATTTGTGGTTCTTTTGTATTTTGCACCTGACCAGGTGGCTGGGACAGACTGGCACTGGGCCACTTTCCCCACACCTTGGTTCTGCACTGTCGCCAATAAAAAGCTCTTAAAAATGCAACCACCGGGCTGAAGTATCAATTTTATTCTGACACACATTAGCTGGCATCCCTTCAGCAACAGAGAGTGAAATTAGATTGCTGAAGGGACTAAATACACAGGCATGCAGAATCTCTTATTAGTGAATCAGCTACAGCAGAATAAAAGAAAGCAAGACAGTTGGGAGGACTTCCTGTACACAAAGACAGCAGCTCTTTCTTCCTTTTCTTTTCTTTTTTTTTAGAGAAACAGAGTCTTATTTTATCACCCTTGGTAGAGTGTCCTGGTGTCACAGGCACAGCAATCTCCAACTCCTGGGCCTAGACGATTTTCCTGCCTCAGTCTCCTAGGTAGCTGGGACCACAGGCGCCCGCCACAACGCCCAGCCATCCTTTTGTTGCAGTTTGGCTGGGGCGGATTTGAACCCGCCACCCTCAGTACAGGTGACCGGTGCCCTACCCACTGAGCCACAGGCACCACACAAGGCAGTGACTCTTAATAGAAAAAGCAGGGAGGGATAGAATCTTAGCCTGTAGGTGTGGGGTTGTATAGGTTTCCTGGTGATGGGGCTTTTATTTTTTACAATGGCTTAGAACAGAAACATAGGAAGTAAACATTGCATAGGAAGAGTTGAAGAATCCTGCCAGCAAATGACTAAAGACTGCTCCGACTAATGAAAGAAAGAGGGAAAGACAGAGAGATGAGGGAGGAAGGGAGGGAAGAGAGGAAAGGAGGAAGGAAGGAAGGAAAGAAAGAAAGGAAAGAAAGGGGAGGAAGGAAGGAAGGAAGGGAGAAAAGAAAGAGAGGGAGGGAAGAAAGAAAAAGAAAGGGAGGAAGGAAGGAAGAAAAGAAAAGAAAAAAAGAAGAACACTTGTGAACTGTTAGGAAGAAAGAAAAAGAAAGGAAGAGAGGGAGGAAGAAAATAGAAAAGAGGAAAGGAAGGGAAAAGAAAAGAGGAACACTCATGCACCATTGGTGAGACTGCAAGCCAGTAGCCAGTACAGCCTCTATGAAAAAAAAGTATGGAGATCTACTTGGGAGGCTGAGGCAAGAGAATCACTTAAGCCCAAGAGTTTGAGGTTGCTGTGAGCTGTGACGCCATGGCACTTTACCAAGGGC